TCAGGAATACCATCAAGTATGCGTGCTTTAGGGGATCCGGTTTGAAGATGATAGCAAAAACCATGGACAAAGGTATATGTATATCACACATATTGCCCATTTTTTTAATTTTTATATGATTTACTCTTTTCTAAATTTGTTATTAATGGCTGTAAAGCAGAGTTCAGGCAGCCTGCCAATGCAATCCATAGTTTTTGTAAAATAGAACAACTGACCAACATGAATCATTGCCCTAGTGTAGTTCAACAACCCTTTACAACTCAATATCTGTCAACTACTTTTTGCAAGGTTGATCCTGGGTTGATGTCTCAGCTTCAGTTACTTTCCTACCACCATAATGTAGCCTTTTCTGTGACTTTTCTAGGAATACTTTCATGGTAATTGTTCCAATGAACTCTTCAATATGTTATCTAGACTTTATGAATTCAAGTGCAGTACTAGATTGGCAGAAAAGTCATCAATTTACAGTTGAAGTGGCTAGATGGAACTATAGGTTCTATGCTAACAGTTTCTTTTCTTGCACTTCTAACTTGTGGAACTCTTTTCCAGTTCTATGCTTTCCAACCAACTTTTATTTTCAAAAATTTGAATGCAATATCAATCATTATCTATTATCTTTTTGATTACTCTTCTTTTCCATTGTTCTCACTCCTTAATGTTTCTCTTTTTGCTTATTCTTTCACACTTAGTAACACCTTGTGTTTAGTGACTTTACTGCTTTACATTGGGCAATATGATGAAAAAAAAAAAAAAAAAAAAAAAAAAAAATCGCTGGTAATATTTTGTTTTGTCAAAAATCTGTTTCTGGTAATATTTTTCCTTGAAAAATGTATTGCTGGTAATAATTCTTTTTTTTTTTTTTTTCAAAAAAGTATTGCTGGTAATAGTTAACTATTTGCCCGTAGGTGGGACCCTAACAGGTGCTACCACCCTAGGTCAGGGTTGACCTGGGAACACCAGCAATTAAGAGGTGGTTCCACGCTCCTCAAAACCTCCTGATACGAGGCCTTGCTGCTGGACATGGTTTATCATCTTACCCAGGACACAGATGTAGTTTATCGTCATACCCAGAACACAGATGTAGTGAAGTCATTTGTACAAAGAGGTATTAGTCAGGTCTTTACACCTATTTTCAATATTCACAATACATGCATACTAATCTTGACCTTTTATACTTTAATGCAAAATTACATTGTATTATTTGAGTGGTCTATTATTATTATTGTTATTTTTAAGCTAAATTTAAATTCTTCCATGAATTGTCCATTTGTAACCGATGAAGTCTCTTGTTTGAAATATCAAACACAAATTTTGCTCTATAAGTACAAAGAAAAGATTCATTGAATTGGTTGTCATCAGAAAACGTACAAGTGTTTGAAATAAACAGTTTCTTATTGTCACATGTGCCAGAATTAATACTAGATTAGGCAACATTAATAAGGTTCATCTTTTATATGCCATATCACTTCAGGACATGGGTGATCATAGTTCTCCACAATTTCCTATCCTTTGTAGCTATTTGTAAATTTTGTCTATTTGCTATTTCTCATAAGCGCTGATCTTCCAGCCATTTACACAAGTTAGTTGGATAGGTTATGCATGGTTTTCCTTTGCCCCTTCAATACATTCTGTCAGTGTCAAATTTCCCAAGCCCTCTTTCCTTATGTACCTGAGAAATTTAAACTGGCTCTTTCTGATGTTAAGCGTAAGTGTCCTATTTGTTTCCATTTTCTCTAAAACTTCATCACTGTTCACAATTTTAAGGTCAATCATTATGTATTGTACTTATCCTCATAATCTGCACGACAAAGTGAACCAATTTTCTAAGCAGCAGATTCAATATAATCTTTCCACTTCATGTCAGTAGAAAAAGTCAGCAAAGGCACAGTGAGTCTCTCCTGGAGGTTAGCATCAGCCATGCTGATGGAAAGCAAAAAAATGTGTCTTTAGATTTCTATCTTAAAATGTTCATAGGGGTAATGTTTTCATTTTTTTTCTCAAAGCTCAAGTCGTAAAGAATGAACATTCTCTTCATTTCTTAGTCTGTTTTCTATTTAACAATCAAACATAACTTTGGCAGCAGAGAAGTATCAACATCATGAAAAGAAAACTTGTTGATTTTTTAAGAGGATTTCTTTCATGATGATGGTAGGGCAGGTGACAATGAGTATCTCAAATTGAATGCTGACCAGACACTAAGGATTTGTTTCACTACTTTCTTGCCAAAGCAAAGCAAATTTGAATGACCTTCCTTTCAATAGTTCTGATGAAACGCAAAGCATTACTTTATGATTTTCAAAATGGTGTAGGCGTTAAAAGGTTGGAGGTCAATGATGCATTAATACCCGCTCCTCTCACCTTGAACCATTTCATGCCTACATCATACTTGGGTAGAAAGCTCTTTCTTTGCTATAGCCAAGCAGTTTTTCCTTCCAATCAGTTGACTATATCTTCTTCCCTCCACACCTTCTTGATTACAGGAAAAGAGAGGGAAACTCAAAAGACTTTGGAATGTTACTTCTCTTTTGCAACACCAAAGAAACAAAAACAAGATGACACACTGAAGTAAAAAGAAGGCCATTTGTAGGGTTAGGGTGGTGGGGAAGCTAGAGAATATCATGTAAAGAAATAATAGCAGCTTTGAGAAAAAGTTGAATTGTAATTTTCAACTTCCTTTTTAGGGGGGGGGGGAGAAAAAAAAAGGAAAAAATAGACTAATATTCATAAATATTTCTGAAAAGAAAAGCATTTTTGTATGAATAACAAAGAAATAGGTAAGATGGTAGAGTAATGGAATCAGATAGTTAAATTCAGATTCCAGTCGAGTTCATCACATTCACTTGGGAAATGTATGAATCCATCTTTTCTCCCTAGCTATGGGTAAAATAGCAGGATAGACTGGGCCTATAGCCTTAGTTGGTAACCAGTCTAGGAGAAGGAAAACTCTGAATTCAAACCACCTATCTCTTTAACTTCCGAGAGGAAGGACAGGTGTAACCTCAGTATCCCCTGTATAAAAGGGGAACCAAAAAGTTATTGCACTATTCTACCTTGAATGTTACCATTAACCACAATTGTGAAATGGAGGAGAGTAGTGACTAGTGCTACAAAATGCACTAACTGAATAAATGATGATGTCGTTTTCTTTTTTATTGAAAAAAAAAATAAAAAATAAAAAAAAATATTCATGAGTATTTCTAACAAAGTTTTTTTTTTTTTTTTACATAACAAAATTATATCAAAATAACATTCTAAAAATGAAACAAATTGCACAGTATAAAAAGGTAATAGTGAGATTAGCCGTTTCCATACAGGAAACATTTGACAGTTATTGACTGAATAGTTAGCATTAGTCTCAGTTGAAATTTCCAAAATCTTTTTCTCCAGTTTTTCATAAAATTAAACATGAAGTTCACTGTTATTGATCCTTCTAGTATTAATAGGGGATTACTTGCAAACTTTTGGGTTTCTGGCAATGCGAAAATTTAACATCTACATGTGCTAACCATTTTTTTTTTTGTTGGTGTTGCTGGTGGAAGTCTTCAAGTGATGTGGCTTTTGTTATTTGGTAAAGCTTTTTGTAATTCTGTGGCACCAGTTAATAGAGTCTGAGGAAGCATTTTATTTAAAAAAAAAAAAAAAAAGCATTTATTTTATATAACAAATATTATCCAACATAACTGTCTTTCTTACAAATGCACAAATCACCAATATCATTTAGACAATATACAGTGAACATTTCAGATGAAAATTCAGTAAATAACTGAACATGGACTATAGTCAACCAAATCTAAACAAATGATTTGTTAGGTTATTTGTAAGTGAGGTAATAAAATAAGTACATCTCTTCTCCCCTCTTATTTGTAACCATCCACTATAATAAAATAAACATTTTCAGCACTAAAGCTGAATTGGTCAAATAAAGCATCATAAGATTCTACTTAGAGTTGTTGCTATATTACAGTAAGTATCTTCATTTTCTCCAAATTACATTAGTTGAATACCTCCTGTAGTAAGTTGTAACAGTATTGTTATTAACATCTGATTCTTTATAGAAATAAATAAATAAAAATGAAAAAAAAAACAAATATGAATAAATAAGAAAAATAAAATAATTAAAACAAAAAATAAAAATAATTAAAAAAAACTAAAAATTATTTTAAAAAGTTGTTTGTTTTTTTCCTTTGCTTTTGAGTCAGAAAACTAAAAGTATTAAACTGCTTTATAACAAAGAGCATGTGACATTTCAATTCATTGTAATTAAAAAGTTTTGTTATCAAAAGTGCTTGGAGGTGCCAAGTTCTTTATGTTCTAAAAGCTGTTGGACATACAAGGATAAAAGCTGACAACAATCTTATTCACAGGATGTTGCAATTAAGCGGCTGTTGCACAATGTTGAAATAAGGCCATGACTATCCAGCACGCATATGAAATGACTGTATCCATTATCAAGCAGTCTCCACAACAATATAATAGTAAGCTTAGTACACATATACTTGGTCATCTCACAATATATATATGTGTGTGTGCATATATATATATATATATATATATATATATATATATATATATATATGAGTAAAGTGTTAAAAGGATGAAGGCAGGTAGAAAATTATATATAAGGTATATTTGGGCAGAAAGAATTGAACAAAATTTTGGTTAAATTCAACTTATATCGGTAGTTTTTAATTTTTAATGAAACTTTTCCAATTTTCAAACAAGTTTTTCTGGATGGATTTGTTTTCAACGCCTTATCAACTCTTTAATGTCAGAAAATATTTTTAGATTCTAAGATTTTTTTTTTTTTTTTTTAGATAATTATTTAGTGATATAAGTCTTACTAATTAACCCATAGCTGGGGGGAGAAAAGAGAGGTGGATTCATACCTTTCCTAAGAGTATTTGCAGGTAAATAAATATAACAAAAATCCAACTGGAAGTAGAACTTGGATCTCCAAGTAAAAATTCCAAGTCATTATCCATTACAGCTGCATATCTAAGCTTACAGCACTTGCTATTCCCAAGCAGTCGCTCATCTAGATACTAACCAGACTCAACATTGCGTAACTTCAGTGCTCATATGGAAACCAGTGTTTCAACATGATATGGCCATAAGGCAATTTTCAAATAAGATATACATTGGAATCAAAATTGTGGATAAACTCTTTTGTTCTGTTTTTTTTTTATTACTTTCTATCATGTTAGTCATAATCAATAACTGGGTTGATGTTATCAATGTAATAAACAAGGTTTTGATAGCGACATTGCTGTATTTTTTTTTTTTTTTTTAGAGGCATACTAGAATTCAAGATAATTCAAATATACACATTAAAAAAAAAAATTAACCTGACAAACCTTTTTAATTAAGTTTAACAAAACCTGTTTGGAGATATAAAGTGGTGTTGACCAGTTCTTGATCCAGTCAAAAAGGGATTTCGAAAAAGACCTAATGTTTGGTCAGATTGTGTGTATCAGGCTGAAAGCTTTTTCAGCACCCTATGTGCGCATGTATGGACACACACACACGAGACAAGAGAGGGAGAGTATTTGGGCAACAATTTTCCTTCTCCTAAATTCTTCTAATTGAGTGACATTATCAGCTTGTCAGGGATGAAATAATTTTTTAAAAATTTCAGCTGCCAGGCTCTGGTCATCTTGAGTTTTGAAAATGCATCAATAGACTGTTTCATCATCTGCATAGATATATTCAAGCATATATAAAGCGGAGGAAAACTATTGCTAAATTTTTAAAATTTTAAATTTAAGAATCTTTTAAAATATTCTTAAAGCTAAGAGTGTAAGCCAGGGTAAAATGTAGAAGATGCTTTAATTTACTTACACAATTAGATTTAAGAATATTTTAGAGCATTCTTAAATTGAATATTTTTGAAAATTTGGCAAGATTTTTATTCCAGTTTACTTTTTATTTATAAATACATATTGCAAAATAAGATCCTTAAATTTACCCTAATAAAGTCCTTCAAAGGAAAAAATGCATTGGTAAAGGAAAGTTTTCCATGTGTGTGTGTGTGTGTGTGTGTGTGTGTGTGTGTGTGTGTGTGTCACTTTCCCACAACTGTTACATAGCTTCCCTGTGCCTTTTCTATAAATATTTTCATGCCAATTGTTCTAATGAACTTTATTCTTTGTAAATATTCACTGGGGTTTCATTTTTAAAATGTTATTTTATCCCCACCCCCCCCACAAATTGTACATATGGGAACTAACTAGGACTACATAGAGACTTTGAAGGCTGTAGTAAGAATGCATTGTTTTGGTGTAAGGAATACTGTGGTATGTTTGGGTCAGTAATTGTGGCTAGCTATGTTTAAGATAAGACAGATTGAAGACCAGTATTCCTCTATCCCCCCCCCACACTTTTGGCTTTGTGCCACATTTTTGTATTATTCAAAATAAATATCACTTTCCACTTTGGTACATAGACTTTATGAATTTAAGCACAATACTAGATTGGCAGCAAGATTTCATCAATTTACAGTTGAAACAGCTAAATGTAACCATAAGTTCTATGCTAACAGTTTCTTTTCTCACACTTCTTGCTTGTAGAACTCTCTTCCAGCTTTCCAGTCAATTTTGACCTTCAAAAATTTAAATGCAATGCCAATCCTTATCTTGTGTCTTCTTAATTCCTGTTCTTTTATTGTTCTCTTTCCTTAACAGATTTTTTTTTTTACTATTTTCTTACATTCAGTAACCCCTTTATTGCCTTGCTTAACGTGAAATATATATATATATATATATATATAAATAAATATGTGTGTGTATGAATATAAACCTGTTGCATAAGTATCTGGTGTCACTTCAATTCAATATTCAAAGCAATATACTTAATTATTTTATTATAAATATCTTCCAAATCATACATAGATTAATATACATTTTTTTTGTTCTTTGAAGCAATATATATTTTTCAAATTGCTTCAGTGCAGTAATATAAAGCTGCTTTGTCCAGGATACCTTAATTCTAATAGTTTAGTGGGATTCTAATTATGTCAATTTTATTTAAAAAGAACAAAGAAATCATTGAATCATGACTTTGCAGATATTAAAAAGGGAAAACAAAAATTAAGGTCAGTGGTGATGTACAATCATTTGAGAAAAGTGAGAGAGTCCTTCATTGAAAACTAAATAAGCAAAACAACTATGTTACACACACACACACACACACACACACAAAGTGAAAGAGTATTTGGGCAACAATTTTTCTTCTAATTTAGTGGCATTATCACCTTGTCTGGGATGAAATGATTAAAAAAAATTTTTAAATCAAGTTTATTTTTCTCCTCATTAGGCTGTGATAGCAAGGTCAAAAGAGAGATCAGTTGCCAGGTTCTAGTCATCTTGAGTTTTGAAGGTGCACCAATAGACTGTGTTACCATCTGCATATTAAAGCATATATAAACTAAGGATATTAATTTCAATAATATACCTTAACATCTTAATTATCTCTGCATTAGTTCCATGATTTGTTTGAACATCCAACAAAGAGTGTGTGTGTGTGTGTGCCAGTAAGACGCAGGGACAAGGAGAGAGAGAGAGAGAGACGCAGGGACAAGGAGAGAGAGAGAGAGAGAAAGACGCAGGGACAAGGAGAGAGAGAGAGAGAGAGAGACGCAGGGACAAGGAGAGAGAGAGAGAGACGCAGGGACAAGGAGAGAGAGAGAGAGAGGGGACAAGGAGAGAGAGAGAGAGAGAGAGGACAAGGACAGGAGAGAGAGAGAGAGGACCCAAGGACAAGGAGAGAGAGAGAGAGAGACCCAGGGACAAGGAGAGAGAGAGAGAGAGAGACCCAGGGACAAGGAGAGAGAGAGAGAGAGAGAGACCCAAGGGACAAGGAGAGAGAGAGAGAGAGAGAGACCCAAGGACAAGGAGAGAGAGAGAGAGACCCAAGGACAAGGAGAGAGAGAGAGAGAGACCAAAGGACAAGGAGAGAGAGAGAGAGAGAGAGACCCAAGGACAAGGGAGAGAGAGAGAGAGAGAGAGAGACCCAAGGACAAGGAGAGAGAGAGAGAGAGAGACCCAAGGACAAGGAGAGAGAGAGAGAGAGACCCAAGGACAAGGAGAGAGAGAGAGAGAGAGACCCAAGGACAAGGAGAGAGAGAGAGAGAGAGAGACCCAAGGACAAGGAGAGAGAGAGAGAGAGAGAGAGACCCAAGGACAAGGAGAGGAGAGAGAGAGAGAGAGACCCAAGGACAAGGAGAGAGAGAGAGAGAGGACAAGGAGACCCAGAGAGGACAAGGGGAGAGAGAGAGAGAGAGACCCAAGGACAAGGGGAGAGAGAGAGAGAGACCCAAGGACAAGGGGAGAGAGAGAGAGAGAGACCCAAGGACAAGGGGAGAGAGAGAGAGAGACCCAAGGACAAGGAGAGAGAGAGAGAGAGACCCAAGGACAAGGAGAGAGAGAGACCCAAGGACAAGGAGAGAGAGAGAGAGAAGGACAAGGAGAGAGAGAGAGAGAGACCCAAGGACAAGGAGAGAGAGAGAGAGAGAGACCCAAGGACAAGGAGAGAGAGAGAGAGAGACCCAAGGACAAGGAGAGAGAGAGAGAGAGAGACCCAAGGACAAGGAGAGAGAGAGAGAGAGAGAGAGACCCAAGGACAAGGAGAGAGAGAGAGAGAGAGAAGGACAAGGAGAGAGAGAGAGAGAGAGGACAAGGAGAGAGAGAGAGACCCAAGGACAAGGAGAGAGAGAGAGAGAGAGAGAGACCCAAGGACAAGGAGAGAGAGAGAGAGAGAGAGAGACCCAAGGACAAGGAGAGAGAGAGAGAGAGAGAGACCCAAGGACAAGGAGAGTGAGAGAGAGAGAGAGACCCAAGGACAAGGAGAGTGAGAGAGAGAGAGAGACCCAAGGACAAGGAGAGGAGAGAGAGAGAGAGACCCAAGGACAAGGAGAGGAGAGAGAGAGAGAGACCCAAGGACAAGGAGAGAGAGAGAGAGACCCAAGGACAAGGAGAGTGAGAGAGAGAGACCCAAGGACAAGGAGAGTGAGAGAGAGAGACCCAAGGACAAGGAGAGAGAGAAAGACCCAAGGACAAGGAGAGAGAGAAAGACCCAAGGACAAGGAGAGAGAGAGAGAAAGTGCTAGCTAAGGACAACAAAATAGAGATAGAGGGTAAGAGGGATGGAGACTGAGATGCAGACAAGGAGAGATGTAGACCAGCTAAGAACAAACCAAGAGTAGAAGAGAGTGCTGAGAAAAAGATAGAAAGCTGTGAAGTGTGCAAGGGAAAAAGGGGTAAAAAGCCAAGAACAGACAAACAGATGTGAACAGACCGACATATCTATGTTCTGTATGGAAAAATAATGCTGTTAAGTCTATTTACAAGTATACATTTCTTTGATGGATGGTTAGTTGATTCTGCTTTAATTGACTTGACAGCACATAGAAAAACTATAATGTTATTTTCTGGTTTTTCCATTGTGTTGCCAAATGTATCAGAGGTCAAGGTTCATTCAGTTCAGTGCTGATCTGTTAAGAATTGTCTTCAGAACTCAAAATAGGGTCTCTCTTTTGTTTTGTTTTTTTTTTTCACAATTCATGAGATTTCTACAAGGAAACTCAAAGACCTGTCTCCAATCTTCATCTAGGGTCTTCAAAAGCCTGCCTCCAGCTAGAAAGATTTGAGAGGAACTAGTTATAATATTCTATAAAATAACTGAAGTATTTTTTTAATCCACAAGTTATTCAAACTCACATTATCATCCCTATGTATTTCACCATATGTTTTTCAACTTTCCAAAAGATCTGCTGTGCTTTGTCCACATTGCATTTTTTGCTATTTGGTAAGGACTTAGCTTAATTTCAATGACTTGAGAGATCAGTTGTCTAATCATTAGGAAATCTTAGATCTTTGTTCAACTCAACCCACAGAGCAAACTGTAAAGAACCAATTCCAAATGGCTATGTAGTGATATGTGCATGCATGCAATCACCTGAGGATTAACCTTCTCATAACATCCACTTAATAATCTAGTATCAGCCATGATATATATTTATCAATTCTGACCATTCAAACAGAATGAACTATATATAATTAATAAAAAATTATAATTATCATATTTGACAGCTGTTGTGGAGTGATTTCGCAGTGGAGG